AAAACAAATTGCATAAAGTTTAAAAAAATTAGAAGTATTTGTTTCAAAATTCAAAAAGACCAATGACCATTTGGGAAATAATCAACTGAATACAAATTTCAATTTACTGTGTTCATCCTGTTGAGGGGTCTTCTGTGTTATTGGACCTGTTACTGAATGTTGGTGGTTCAGAGGCTGATAAATAAGGCTCTCCATTTTAAACTAGTGTTTTTACCAAAACCAAAAACCAAGTAGAAACTCTATTAGGTCGTGAAAACAAAGCCTGGAATATCTATTTTGCCTGTCTCAGTGGAAACGATTCAGCAAGTAATTGTTTACTGGTCAGTGTGAAGAAGGCTGAACTTAAATATATGTATACACAAGTAAATCTAACCACCAAATGCTGGTGTCATTCTCAAATAAAAACACATTTCAGAAGAAAGAAGAGATTTAAAATACTGAATTACAGAATATATAATATAGTATAGACTAAGAACATATTTCAGGATAAAAAAGGTATTATAGTGTTCAAGGCCAGGCTGGATGAGGCTTGGAGCAACCTGGTCTAGTGGAAGGTGTCCCTGCCCATGGCAGGGGGGTTGGAACTGGATGGTCTATAAGGTCCCTCCTAACCCAAACCACCCTGTGATTCTATGATCCAAAAAAAGATTGTTTTTCATGATGTATTCATTTTTACGTATCACTCACATTCCATTACTCTTGTCTCCTGTTTCCCCTTTGGAAGTAAATTTCCAATAGTCTTCAAACTGAGATATTCCTTATGAGACAAATGCTACTTTCAGGGTCAATGGGTCTTCAGAAATGCTTACAGAACTGGGACACTTTATCCATTTAGTATTTTTACCAGGATATATTTACTTAGAAGGGTGAACTGAAATGAGCCACAATCAGTCTCCAAGAAGATGAGCTGTTCTATGTGAGAGGGTTCTAGAATGCTGTAATACTGAATTTAAGAACAAAAAATAATAGTTTGAGAAAAATATACAGCATTATTTTTTCCTAAATATTTTACATTCACTTGCCCCCAAGTGCATATTCGGAAAAAAATTTCAACGATAAGTAATTATGACCTGCAGGGGAAAAAAAAAAAAAAAAGAAACCCACAAACAAAAACCAAAACTTAGTATATTTCTTTGGACAGCTGGCAAACTTCCCTCTCCTTCCCATCCCATCTCATCTGCTTAATGTCTTAGCAGTGTTGGAATCTGGGAAAATAATATTAAGTTTTCAGCATTGTGATAGACATGCTGGCAGGTTAAACTAGACAACTGAAACTAGTATGAGTTTATGTATGTATCATGTGTCTAGACAGTTTTACCAAAACCAGGCATGTCTGGTCTTCTTTTGTACCACTTCCTGAACCTCGGCAATTGCTCAATTCCAGTGGAATATGCCACATCTGACTAGGAAGCCTCATTCAGTTTCAAGCCTAGGAGATGACACGATCAAAGGCCTTGCTACAAACGTGGCACAGAAATGAGAAGTAACTTTGCCCAAACAGGTACAGAATCTAGTCAGACACAGAATATTGATTGTAACACAATTTCCTTCTCCACTGCTACAGCACAAAAGTACCCGATTAACCTGCATCAGATCACCGTCATAATTAGTGTACTAAACAGTATAAAGTAGTATCTTATATATAGATCTTGTATATACTTTAGATCTTGTATATACTTTATTCTGGCAGCTGAAATGCTCAAGGTGAAGCTAGCTCTAAGATAGTCAACCTAATATTCACCAAATTCCCTGTGTCCTGTAAACAGGAAAAACAGTATTCAGTGAGAAAACGATAAACCAGTCGACTCAAGAAATAATTCACTGCCCCAGCATACACCCATATACACCTGGTACAATACACAGTTGGGAACAGTTACGAGTAAATTACTATATAGATCATCAGTGCTAAAAGGAGAAAATGAAGTTATTTTAATGACTGATATTATACATTTCTTCTGAACCTTGTTATATTAATCGGGATCAAGTCTTAAGCAACAGGCTCCAAACATTGGTTTTCCACAATCGTTATCATCACAGGTTAAGGTAAAAAAGTGGTAATTATGTAATTAAGATTATACCCAAATTAGATTAAGATTATACCCAAATTATTATACCCAAATATAGAACCCAGGAAATTTTTTAAAACCTTTAAAATCATTAGATGACCTAAACAAAAGCAGAACTACTGTTTGCTCTCAGAAAGAAAGCGTCTAAACTTGCAGTTAACTATGTCAAGTTGAAAGGTCACGTTGAAACCACCTCTTTGATTCATAATCCTTCTGTTTCTTGGTGTACGAGGATTTCTGCTGGCACTAAAAAGGGTAATTCGAGCTTCCCTCCTGGCTTTGAAATGAGTAAGCCCAGCTTGAGCCCAACAGAATTCCCAAAAAAAACTTTTCTGTGAAATAGTGGATCAGTGCAAACATTAACTGGCATGGATCCCAAATCCAGCCTGAAAAGCCCTGGGATAAGACTCTAGGTATCTGCAACACGGTGTTTAGACAGGACGGTTTATATAGAACAGTAGAAGAAATATAAAGACCGATAAAGTAAAAAGCAAGACCAAAATACTCCTTTTCTTCTTTTATGTATTCATAAAACTGATATTTATTGTCTATAATTTTGGAAAGCTTTTTCTATTGTAATCATATATTGGATGAAACCCAATCTCTACAAAATGACAGCTATAACATGAAAATGTTGGCGGACTTGTCCAGTACAGAAGTACCATCTTTTGCTGCCAAGAGCATTTATTTTAGACTGTGTGATACAACCAGCCATAGATACTCAGCTGTACTGAAAGGAAGTCAGTTTCAACCAAAATTCAGAATACTGGAAGAAATATTTCACTAAGCAGGACTTCTTCATTCCTTCAAACGCTTTTGTATTTTTCTGTAATTTATGCTGTCACAAACCCCAAATGCAAGTCCCGTTTTATGGGAAAGCAACTATATCAATGAGAAAAACAGGAAACTCTGCTAGTTTTGTTGGATCTAATAGGAAGATGTGTATGAAAAACAGAGTAAGAAGTAACCAAGCCAAGCAAAAAGTTAGAAAAAGAGAACTTGTTACCGGATCCTGTTAAGTATTACTGCCAAACTGGCCACTGTTTTGCCAAGTAAATAGCTATTACTGAGTACTCCTTGCAAGTATCTGGAAACAGGAGATAAAACTGCTATTATAAGATTAGGGCCTAAAATTCACAGGTGTGGATGAAAATTCCATTTAATAAGGAAGAAGCCTGAAGCCTTAGTTTTTCAAAATTTATAAAGACAAGTTGTATAATAAAGTAAAACAGAAGGAAAATATTCATATACAAAATTCAAAATGGATCTTCAGAATCGTCTTTGGATGAGACCCTAGTGAAAATAGATACTTGATGAGGAGGAGGTTCCGTTACTTTATGCAGCAAAGGCTTTGAAATACACAGTAAGGAAGAAAGGGCTAGAGGTATCTGCACCTCAGTGGAGAAACCACCACATGAACAACCTGTAGGGACCTAAAGAAAACCTGGAAGAGTCAAATAATTTGGTAAATAACGTTTCTTCTATGGGTCTGTAATGTCAGCTTGCTCTGTAAACACAGATGTTTCCATGAAAATCTTGGAAAACAATAGTTTTTCCTCTGAAGTACCACAACCTTCAGTTTTCTTGAAGAACTAACGATTAAGCCTTTGTAAGAGTATTTGAGGAAGATAAATAACTAGGAGTATATATCCCTGTACCTTTGTGGCCCTTCTCTGGACCCTCGCCAGCCTGTCCACATCTTTTTGGCGCAGCAGGGACCAAAACTGAACACAGTATTCCAGGTGTGGCCTGACATGCGCTGAGTACAGTCGGATCACAACCTCTTTATCTCTGCTGGTGATTCCCTTGTTGATGCAACCCAGCATCCTGTTGGCTTTCTTTGCTGCAGCAGCACACTGTTCTTTGGGAATTTCAATTCTTTGTCAGCCTATCGAATACTCTCAAAACCAGAAGTTGCATTTAGGTTATTTAAAATGTTATTTCTCTATTGTTTCTACCACACAGTGTGTGTGAACAACAGGATTTCCTCTTGATATACTTTCCAACTCCAGATTAAGTTTTATGAAGGAAAAAGGTCTAGCAGATTATCAAACTGGGCTTGCTTTGTATGCCATGAATTTCCTCCGCTTTTACTTCACCCACAGGGAACGCTTCTGCATCAGTTTGCATAAAACATTTTTGCAATCTGCTTTTATGCATCAAGCACAAAGTATAGATCACACTACAGCTCTGCTTCCAAGTACAGATATAAACTGTGTATTTATAACTGCTCGTTCTCATATAATTGCACATTGTAATAGTCTGTATATATAACTACATGTAGAAATAGGGCTTTCTCATGTCTTCCACTCATTTCTAAGTTTCCCTGACACTTGCAAATTCTTGTATAAAGATAATCATGCACAAATGCAGACCCCAAAGTAGTAAGGCTCAACATTGTTGTCAAGAGCTACGCCTAATAGTTGAGAAGTAACCTGCCTTTCCAACATGCTGTAAGGACAGTATTTTGGAGCTGGAGCATAAGACAGGGTTTGAATTGGCTGCATTTGTCTATTTTGATGCAGTAAACCAAGACTACAAATATTACTCCAACCCCCAGTAATCTGCTTTATGGTGAGACTTCCCAACACTGACTGGGGTATATTCAGAACATACACAGTACCTCTGTGAGTCTCTATGCCCATCATGTACACACAGACATAAAGTCTACTGTGTACCCGTTAAATCGAGACATCACTGCTAAGCACATTCTAATCCTTTCTTTAGAAGACTGGCATTTTAGGAAGCACTGAACAGCTCTTGTTTTTCAGAATGTCAAAAACCAAAATGTGTTCCTTCCATTGTAACTCTTAATCAGCTTGTCTCAGCCCTTGTGAAAGCTGCAGTCTAATCATTCTGACTGCCTTAACCAAGAAAAGACACCGAAGAGGAGCTGACTTCTTCAGTATTTAACCCAACGTATCACATACTTACATCTGGCATTTCTGTACAGTAGAAAAGGGTCCTGCAGCTGGAAGTCAAGGTCTTTAGTAATAGGTTCTGTTCGATTTTCCATGCTCAGTCTGTTCATAATTGTGAAGCCATGCCTTGGAGAAGCCGATCTGAAAATTATCAAGTAGAAATCACATCAAGTCAAGGAAAAAAAAGAAACTGCCAGAATTTTTTTTTGTTGTACAGTTCTCCGAAGTTGGTTTTTTTTTTTTTAAATTCTAAGAGATACTACAACAATCTAAATTTGTTGCCAAGGAAATAACAATGGACTCTTGCAGTATTTCGTGCAATCCTTTTAATTATGTCTAACCCTACATTACGGATGAGAAATAACAGGAGCGTCATCAGTCTGACAATAGCTACAGAGGGTATGCCACATCTGTCACACTACCATTCGAGGTCCAATGGTTTAGCCACAGCACAGTCCTATCTGCATGTCCAGTTTTCACTTCAAGTTATGAGGCCTACAGCTTCTGAAGAGGCAAGATGTTACAAATGCCACTTTGTCCCATACCATCAGCATCACGTTATCCAACCACCACCCTCTACCCTACAGTTTCTTGCTGAGTTAGAAAACAGCCATTAGAATGATTCAGTCGTGATCCAGAGCAAGTATATATTTTAACACTCAGGCTAACAACTGCAGATAGTAACAGTCATCCCAGATAGGATTTTCTGTACCATCTAAAGCATAAGAACAACAGTAAGCGTGGTGAGGCATGGGAACAGGTTGCCCAGAGAAGCTGTGGATGCCTCATCCCTGGAAGTGTTCAAGGTCAAGTCGGATGAGGCTTTGAGCAACCTCATGTAGTTAAAGGTGTCCCTGCCCATGGCAGAGGGGTCAGACCAGATGATCTTTAAAGGTCCCTTTTAACCCAAACCGTCCGATAATTCTATGACTCTAAATCATGAGGCTCATTCATGGGGGTTACATTTCAAGTCACTCAGACAATTTTTATTAATGTGAGCTGTTAAACCTATCACAACCCTGACAGGGGATATTACTTTCAAACCAAGTATGACAATAAAGGAAAAGATGATGGCTAAACATCTGGTAAAAGTGCCATCTCTGGTAATTGCTGGTGGGTGGATTTCTTTGTGAAATCCAAAGCACAGGAGTCTTCAGTACAAGATTGGATACAACAGAAAATTAAACAAAAGTGGAACCCTTAACAAGAATCCTTGTTTGCAACAGTAAGAACTTTAAATAAACAAACAAAAATACAGTCTACTTCCACTGGTGTTAACTCAGTTGGAAGTCTGATTTTTTGACCGTTCCTCAGAATTCGCAAAGATGAGATAGGTAATAAGTCAGATCAATTAAAATGGTCACATTACATTTGTCACAACAGTAATGAGATACAACAAAGGCAACAGCAATGGTCTCCAACTTATGGTCTGTTGGCAATGTTTTTTCCACAAGATTTGATGACTTTGCTCAAAGCCACAGGAAATTAAAGTTAAAACTGATGGGGAGGGCAATGTTACTCACAGCTCACCACCTGATCCATGCTGTTGCCTGTAGGGCAGCCAGGGTAGCAATCTCTGCTGTAAATGGAAACTTCCTCAGCCAACAGAAAGAACCATGAAGGTTCACAGATGCTAGAAGTGCCAGGTTACACGTTGTCAGCTCTGGAGCTTTAAAACCAATGTACCAGAGAAATACGACTTCTGTTTTGCAGTACACGACTAGCCACCCCCACCTACTGCTAGCACAACTAAGGGCCAGTTCTTTCCTCTTGTGGTGGTAATCGTAACAGCATCTTATCACCACTTACCTAAAGGCAGCTTAGAAAAACGACTGATGACAATTTCCACTGCTGGTACAAAAGAGCTCAAAAGATTAAACACAGCATTCCCACTTCACACAAAGCTCACAGACACTTGGCCCTCCCTGTCACTTCTCACATACATTTCTCACCTTCTCAAAACTCTCTCTTGCTTTCTCAGTTCTCGTACCAGATCCTCATCAACAGAAATGTTGAAGAAACACTAGGCTTTGATGTCCCATCCCAGCAGTTACTGCACGATCTGCTTACTGTATTATTTTCTGGTTTTAACAATAGCCCCAGGGAAATGCCGGGGCACTAACTTGGAAACCCAAAGGTAGGGCAGGCTTCACAACGGATCTAAGGTACATGCTAGAATAAATGATGTAAACGATGCTTTGAAAAACCACCACTGGAGTTGCTCCTAAAAGAAAGCATTAAAACCACCCCAAATGTTGAATGAAATATGCATGAAAAATGAACAATCAGACACAGGAAGTATGAAAGTTCCCGAAGTAGGGAACACAATACTTCATAAGTTCTACCATTCCCCTACTTTAAGGAATATCATTATTCATTTCACTACTAGTTTTTTGTTCAGACACCTTTTAAGCTGCAAATGCTACCGCCTATTCAAAACAACGTAACAGATTTCTATGGTTTACACAAATTGAAATTTAAATGACACTGGGAAGTCTTATCCAAATACACGGTGAAGTCTCCTTCCCAGTGTTTTCTTCCCTGCATTTCCCTCTACTAATTTCAGTTCCTTTTCACCCTCGAACAAGGAGGACCATTTTACTCCATTCAGCCACACTCCATCCCAGTTAGCTTTTCCACATCCACAGGTTTCACCTGCAGACATTAAAACCTTACGTCCTCACCTTGTGTAAACAAACAGCGTTCCCTCCACGTCAGTCTTCTCCTGAAGAAAAGGAAAGTTAAGAAAGTTGAAAGCAGGGCAGCGCTTTGCTAGCCACCAGTGAGCCCTCTTTACCTCTGTTCTACCCAAACTGTCTGTTAGGCCTCTCTCACCTAAGCCATGAAAAAATAACCAACCCAACTTCACTGGCTGGTGGTGAAAGGCAAGAGCTATCACAGATGATGGGGCAGCTGACACAAGTTTCATGGCAAGATATGAAAAGGCTAAAGGCTCGACACTATGAGACTAAACACTGCACTGGATTAACTCTCTGCTACGACCATGGGTGATGCACAAACCAGATTCAGGGAGAGGATTTTCCAGACAGCACCTGCCCTCAAAGGCAATGCCCAGGAGGGGGAAGGGGGAAGCCACACAAAAGGCAGACTGCAGGGGTTCTTCAAAAGCAGGCCCTAAGCCCCACCTTCCTAACAAACCAAGGGCCACCTGCACATAGTCAGGGTGGTAAATTACAAGAATATTCCCCAAAGTATTTATTTGTAAAAAAATCTTAAATAACCTTTTTAGTATTTGTAACTCCAACACTCTCTGGCACATGGCTTGGTTCTGCTGTGGATGCTGGGATAGGAGCGGAGCTCACGAGGCCCATAGCCTGGATTAAACCCCAGCCTCCCACAGCCCAGCCCCGCAGGGTAAAGCTCTTACAGCCCCGTCAGCCTTTCAAAACCAACTTCCAGGGCTCCCCGCGCTCCCCAGCGAGGCTGAGGCAGGCACAGCCCCTCACCCA